GAAATGCCCTCTGCCCCCCCATCTGTGTATCTACATTCTTCCCACCCTCTGAGACCCGACTCAAACAACCCGTCTTTTGTCGACTCCCTGCTGAGCAAAATAACCCATTTGTGAGCTTGCCCTTCAGACTCATAATGCGCGCTTTCCGGTCTGCTCCTCTGGCGCGGGGTCATGCCTTCCGGGTGTATCTTATGCTCTTGCCTTTTTCCTTCGACTTCTGTTTTCTGGAAAAACACACACACTTATATTTCTTTCTCAATTAAATTATCTCCTTGAAGATGAGAACCGTGAGTTAAGACCATCCTTCCTTCCCTAACACTGCCATGAAGTAGAGGGTAGGGCCCGGTCACTATGTGTTAAATGGATAAGCCAGTGTGTGTTTGTTACGTAACCTGGTGACTTTGGGATAAAGGAGTGTGATTGGGGCACAGGAAAGGAGGAATAATTTCAGAAGAAACAAGTAAATGATAATACTGACTTTTCCCCATTTTCAACTTTATATGGGTGGTGGGGGCGGGGGGGTCATTCCAGAAATGGGCACTTGTTGGGGAAAAGACTGAGACACAACCCAGCTGAGGACACACGCCGAGAGCACTGCCCTTGACTCTCTGAGCCCTTCCTGTGTCTGCCTCTTTAACCACACGGGAGAAAAAGCCAGTGACATTTTCAGAAGACGGCCGTATCCCTGGGCGAACGGCACTGCAAAGAGCGATGTTAGAATGATATGTTTCAGCATCTTTAAAATAATGTACTCTTTGTGATTACATTTCGGTCTGTCGACCAGCCAAATGTGGACATTATTTCATCAGTGTGGTTTGTAACGAAAGTTGAAACCTAGCCCGAGGACAAAGGTGGACGTGTGCTGGCAAGTAAACGGCATGTGGGTGGTGGGCAGAGTCAGGGGCTCATAGGAAGCAGGAGAAAAAGCAGGTAGTCAGGGGAAAATCTCTTATGTCCCCGGCAGGCAAAAGCCATCAAAGCTGACAGTTTACTGGGGACGGTCAGCTGCTTTAGGACGAGCGCCAGGTGAGCGTGGGACTAGAGGGAGGCAGGTTCCAGAGCATCGCGTCATTTGCGTCTCTCTGAGTAAGAATTCAGCCCGATTCTCACTTGTGAGACTGTAGATTTTTTTGGTTGACTTTGGCATGTTCACATTTTCGATTTTTAAAAATCAACATTCCCCACAGTTTTCCTGATTTTTTTATTCAACATCACCGTGTTCGCTTTCCATTGCCTGTTGGAAGGGACATAGATACGCAGTTGTGAACACCTGGTGAGAACCACGCATGCTCCACATGCGGTGACACTCCTCAAGGCCAGCACGGGGGTCATCTCCTAACACCCCAGTTCTGCCTGCCTGACCCCTTTCCTAACATTTAGGGCAACCATCGGACTCCTTGTCACCAAAATATTAGACTTGGGGCCCCTACCTGGGACCTTCCAGTCGCCAGAAGGAATAGCTGCACAAATGATTGCTAGAGCTGGTTAGGAACCTTTGCAGCAGATCAGGAGAGAAGAGGCCAGTGCTGACCTGGACCAGGCTGGTAGCGATGGAGATGGGAGAAGTGATCAGGTTCAGGTTCTGTGTAAAGGAAGGCTGCAGGCTCTGGTTGTGGGTTCGATGGGAAGTAAGAGATACTGACCCAGTGCTCTGGGGCCTGAGTAATGAGTGCGTCATGGATTTACTGAGACAGAGAACCTTGAGAGAAGAGCAGATTGGGGGCAATATCCAAAGTTCAGGTTTTTTAAATATTACATTTGAGATGCCAACTGAGTGATGAGTGGGTGGGCAAGTCTACAGAAGAGTGTGGCAATGGCAGCAAAGATCTGGGCTGGACATAAAGATTTGGGAGTCTCAGCATGGAGCACAGGGAATGTATTGAGGGCCTGGGGCTGCATGGGAAGAGAGAGGAAGCCAGAGCCCTGGGGCTCTCGGATGCTGACAGGCGAGGAGGGTGGAGCACATCCCCTACCGATGCCTGGGAGGGAGCGTCGGTGAGTTAGGAGGAGGAGAGGACCCTCTCTCAGAGACCCCGTGAAGAAAGTTTTGACGGGGAGAGCGTTCGCAGGTGGACGCGATCACTAGAAGGGACCTGTTGGAGCACCTCTCATTCAGTGATTACTCCTAGATGGCAGGGCTGGTGTCTCTTCTTTCTCCGTAGCTCCCCACAGCACCCTGGAGGGTTCTGAGCATGCTGTGACCATGAGAGTTGTGCGATGTTGCCTGATTTGTGCTTTTTCTTGCTTGTTTCCTCTTAAACACACAGCTCTACATTCAGCCCATGATGGTGCCTGGCCTGAATTACGAATGCTACCGATTCGGCATTTCCTCTTCCACGAACGCGCTGGTGATCGGCGCCACGGTGATGGAGGGCTTCTACGTGGTCTTCGACAGAGCTCGGAAGAGGCTGGGCTTCGCGGCGAGCCGCTGTGCAGGTCAGTGGTGCCCGCGCTGGCCGGGGAGACCGCGCGGAGTCCTTGGGCCCGCTCGCCCGCCCGGCAGCGCTGCTGATAGGCCACTGCCACTGGGTCCCTTCACTTTCCCCGTCGCCCCGATCAAGGTCTTCCCCATAAAAGGCGCTGCGGGGTGGCCGAGAGGAACAGGGAGACCATCCGTTTGCGACTTGCCATCTTTGAATCTTAGTCCTGAGCAAATGTGGCCCTTTTGGGTGGGCACTGACTCTTCCAGCCCATTTGCTCTTCGGTGGGGGGACCCCTCTCTGGGCGCTACCTGGGGCCGCACAGCCTGAAACACTGTGTCTCCCAGCTGTGGGCATTTTACTTCATTTAACCCGGAGAATCTAAGTACCAAAGCAGTTTCCCCCACAATTCCTGTTCTCGCTAAACACCATCGAAGTCGATGGAGGCNTGCTAAACACCATCGAAGTTGATGGAGGCTGCTATGGCAACAGCCGTCACGGGGTGCACCTCGGTGGCTGCGCGAGCCGGCCACCCGTCTGCTCCTGCGGGGGCGCCGCTGGGGCGGCTGAACCCTGAGCGCCTCCAGGCAGAGACCTTCTCCTGAATTTCATCGTGAGGTCCTGGGTAGGTGCTCTCCTTTAAGTCCGTTGTCGCTGATGTCAGCAGCCCCGGGAACACACACTGATGTGTCTCCTCCTCTGTGCAGATCGTTTAGCCCTTAAAGCAGCCGCTTCCCTCGGGCCCCAGTGAGGAGCCAGCCTCGGTCTGTGGCACCGTGATAAACGGAGGAGACTCCCTGCCTTTTGTTCTATAGCAGAGTGTTTAATTTATCACATTGTTTTTTAATCTCACATTTTAAAAATTTTTTTTAATTCTGTTTTTATTGAGTTGAGAGAGAGAGGAAGGGAGAGGGAGAGAGAAAGAAACATCGATGGGAGAGAGGAACCTTGACCCGGTCCCTCCAGTACAGTCCCCCACAGGGGACGGAACCCGCAACCTGAGTCTGTGCCCTGACCAGAAATCGAACCAGTGACCTTTCGGTGCCCAGGGTGATGCTCAACCAACTGGGCCACACCGGCCAGGCCTCCAACATGTTTTAAGTAACAAAGAAAATGTTTGAAATTGTAGGAAATTGTCTACACTGTACACACGGAACACACAGATATAACAAATGCTAATGTTTTGTCATATTTTCTTCAGTATTTTCTCATAGAAATAAGAAAGGAGGTATAGGTAAAGGCCTACCTCGCCATGCTCCCCAGAGCCACCCTCTGTCCCGAAATTGGTGTATATTCTTCTCATAGTTGCTGCCGTGTGTAGCTTCTCAGCATCGTTACGAGTGCCCTGGACTATTACCTGTTGCTATGGAACAACTTGTCCCCAGGTTAGCGGCGCTTCTACGAGCCTGTGCTCAGGGTCGGGAATCGAGGGGGTGCTTATCTGGGTGGTTCTGGTCTCGGCCTCCCCTGAGGCTGTGGCATCTGAAGGCTGGAGGGTCCCCTTCCAAGCTCAGTCATGTGGTTGTTGCTCGGACCCCTCCATTCCTTGCCGTGTGGACCTTGCTACAGGCCTGTCTCAATGTCCGCAAGATGGGTGCCTGGACACCCCAGAATAAGTGATTCCCAGAGGGAGGGTATGCAACAGAGCACCCAAGACAGAAGCCTCAGTCGTTTGTAAACTGATCTTAGGGGTGGGGCGTACACAAGAGTAAATGCCAGGAAGTGGGGTCACTGAAAGCCATCCTAGAAGCTGACCTTCATATACCTGTAAATAAGTATTTATGACAAAGCACACGGTCTTTTGGGCTTCTTGCTATTTCTTAATTACACAAATGCTCTTGTATGGTGCATACCCTTTGTCAACTTGCTTTTACTGTTCACTGTTACTTTCTCTAGATTCCCCATGTTGCTCTGAGTCCTAGGTCGTTCGTTTTTGACTGCTATATAGTATTCCATTGTGTGAGTATACCCCATCACTGGCCCAGTGCTGCCTTGATTTGCGTTTGGGTTGTTTCTAACGTTTGCAGTTATAAACGGTACTGTGTTGAACATCTCCTGTGCGTGAATGAGGTCGGGAAATGGGATTTCTGGATGATGTGGTGTGCCAGTCCTCAGCGTTATTGGCTCCTGTCAAATTTGTCTTCTGAGTAGCTGGACCACCAGAATTATACCAGAATTTCCATTCGGTCAAAGTATTATCACAGTCGTTTTGTTTTTTGCCAATCTGTGTGTGTGTGAACTAGTCTCGTATTTTAATTGCTTACTTCTGAAATGACTTAACATTTGATATGTTTATGGAATGTTTGAGCTGCTTCTCTGATGGTGAATTTTTCTGTTAACAGCTTCTGCATGTTTTTATACTTTTTTATTGAGATACGTGAGTTCTTTACATAGTTGAGATTAATTTTTCTGGGTTATGTGCATGGCAAATCTAATCTCTCTGGCCTTTTTTCGCTTGTTTTTGGTGTCTTTTATTTGCATTTTTTCTTAAATTTAGTGAAATAAAATTTACAAATCTTTCTTATGGCTTTTACTCTGCTCTCACTTAAGAAACTCTTCCTTAATCTAAGGAAATAGAGTTGTTGTTTTTAAAGGTATTATGTGCTTTCTAACATTTTTCTCTGAAAACGTGAAGTAGGAGTCTCATTCTTATGAGGACATTCCACTTCCTCAGCACCATTTACTGAATATGTAGTTTCCCCTCTGATTCTTCTCAGTATTTTATTATGAAAAATTTAATGTATGTGTTGGCTGTTCTCTCTTCAGCTGGGTTCCGTCTGTGTAACCTCTTCAGTGAGTGTGTAATTACATCGACGCTAGTTTTCATTTCTAGAAATACTATTTTGCACTTTTTCAGACCTACCAACTCATACTTTTGTAGTGTTCTATACTTTGTTGTGGCTCATAGTTCCTTTATCTCCGTTATCATTTTTAATTCAGTTTGGAAAGTTGGCTAGGTAATATTCAAAAGCTACAATGAATTATAGTGTCCCACTCAGAGACAGTCAGACCTTGGACAGTGAGACCTTCCAAGCTGGTAGAGTTTTCCAGCTCCTCCCACCAATGGACCAGGAATTCACTGGCATTTTGGCTCTAGGGTCCATCTCCTTGATGCTGGGGTCAAGTCTTCTGCCCCCCTCCCCCACACACACACCCCTAGATTTTGGAATCCCCAGCCCTAGGGCTTATTCCTGAGCCCAGCTGCATATTTAAAAATTGGGAATTATATTTCATGCTCATTTCTGTGTGTTTTGGTTGGAGGACGTTCCACCTTTGTGCCAACCAGCACTTGATGGAGCCAAAATCTTTGGGAGCCGCCCTTTTCTCTCAATGTCTTTTTTTAGTTTTCATAATAATTCGTCTTTGACAGACAACACTTAGCTAATAGGGTCGGGCTTCTCTGTAAGGGTCCTGACAAGATGGGAAGGAGACCAGTGAGTGAGAGCCCTTGGAAGAACCTCCTGGGGAGCTTTTTAAAACTCACATGGCCCATGTCCTCGCCTCCAGCCAGGGCATATCAGAATGGCTTTGGTGGAGGGTGGTGGGCATTTGGGGAAAGGATCCCAACATGCTGCTATTACGCTGCTGCGTCTTTTCAGCTGCTCCCCCTCGCCCCACCCCAACAGGGAGGCGCTGGTTTAGTCTGAGATCAGAGCCAGATAGATGAGGCGGCAGTCACACTGGCATGGAGCTGGCCAGCCTGCATCTTCAGCATATCGTCTCACATACCTGCAACACATGCTGGAGCCTGGAGCGCCTTCAGCTGCCTGCGTGTCGCCTGGGCCAAGTGTCCTACCGCTGGGGAAATAATAGTGTTAAAACTGACAACTCTCTCGATGTAGCCAAAGCCTCTGAAAGATCACCCGTGTCTTTTTATAGATGGAGACATTTAGCACCCAGAGCTGTGTAGATCTCAGCTTGTACAACTGGAGAGGCATCGTGGGTTTGGCAGTCGTTTCGCTGTGAATTTTCTTTGCTGCAGGTTGAAAGTGGATCATCTGGTACATGTTCATGTGTAAAAATAGGAACGTTCGCTGTTAAGGACAGAGTTGCAGAGATGTGCTCTGCCTTCCACTTAGAATGCAATCAAAAGAAGTCCAAGCCGCGGGGCCCCGAGGACAGAGGCCAGGCAGCCCTGCTTCCTCCTCTCGCAGGAGAGGACACTGAGGTCCCGACCGTGGTGGCTTTCATGTGCTTGCGGAACAAATGGCCCTGGGTCCGGACGCCTGTCCTGTGGCTCCAGAACACTCCCCAGAAACCGTCTCGGTACCAAATAACTGGTCTTGGGAAACAGTTCACTTTATTTTGTGTGCTATGGCAGAAAAGATCTGACCATTATAATGCTTATTTATTTACATTTTATTTTATTTTTTCCATCACCATTTATCCCCTCTAAGCCCTCTTACCTCCCCCCCATGCCTCCCCTCCACGCCCCACCCCCTGCGATCACCACACCCTTGTCCATTAGTGTAGAAGCCCTTGGACATGTATTTTCATTTTTCCTGGGTGCGCCCACGGAGTGGAATGGCTAGGGCATATGACAGACATGGGTGTTACTTCCTAAGAAACTGCCCAACTGTTTTCCAAAGTTACGTTCCCAGCAGCGGTGTGTGAGTTTAGTTCCTATGTATCCTCATGAGCATTTGATATGGCCAGTCTTTTTTAAAAATTTAATTTAAATCCTTACCCCAGGATATGTAGATATGTTTTACTGCTTTGAGAGAGAGGGGAAGGGGGGGGGAGAGAGAGAGGCTGGTTGCTTCCCGCACACGCCCCCCGGGGACGGAACCCACAGCTGCTCAGTGCCCAGGACGACACTCCAACCGACAGCCACCCCGGCCAGGGCTGGTCAGTCTTTTCAATCTGAATAGATATTTAGTGGTGTCTCATTGTGGTTTCAACTTGCATTTCCCTAATGACTAATAACTTTGGGCATCTTTTCATGCCTGTATTTGCCATTCCCACATCTTCTTTGGTGAAGTGTCTTCAGATTTTCTTGCCCATTTTTATATCAAAGTCTTTGTCTTCTCATCAAGTTTTCAGTCTTGAATATTCAGAATTCAAATCCTGTATGAGAAATGTAACTTACAGGTATTTTCCCCCATTCTTTTCTGTCTTTTAAGATTGTNAGTCTTGAATATTCAGAATTCAAATCCTGTATGAGAGATGTAACTTACAGGTATTTTCCCCCATTCTTTTCTGTCTTTTAAGATTGTCTTTCAAAGAGAAGTTCTTAATTTTGATAAGGTAGAATTTATCATTTTTTTCTTTATGGTTAGTACTTTTTGGTATTATAACTAAGAAATTTTTTGCCTAACTCAAGGACATTTCCTCCTGTGTTTTCTTAAAGAATTTTTTTTAATAGTTTTAGAAATGTGTTATTTAGTTTCCAGGTAATTATGGATTTTCCAGATATCTTTCTGCTATTGACTTCTAATTTAATTCCACTGCGGTCATAGGACACAGTATAAACCAAACCTTTTTAAATTTATGGAAACTGGGCTTATGGACTGTAATGTAGCCCACTTTGGTAAATATTTCACGCTCTGTTGAAAACAATGTATATTCAGCTGTGTGGGTGGAGTATCTATAAATTGTCAGGTCGCGCTGGTTGGTAGTGCCGTTCGGAGGCTAAGTCCTTACTTATTTCTGTCCACTTGCTCTATCTATTGTTAAGAAAGGGGTGTTGAAATCTCTGACTGTTTTTGTGGATTTGTGGATTTCTCCTTGCGGTTTCATCACTCTTGTTCCACGTGTTTTGAAACGCTCACTCATTAGGTGCATAAATGTTTAGTATTGTTACGTCCTATTGATGCTTTGAACATTTTATCATCATGAAATTACCCTTCTTTCCCCGGGAATGCTCTTTGCTCTGAAACTACCCCGTCTAGTATTCATTTAGCCACTCTGGACTTCTTTCTGTTAGCATGAGTGGGATACAGCTTTTTCCCATCCTTTGTCTTTTAATATATCTGAGTATTTCCATTTAAAGTGGGTTTCTTGTAGGCAGCATATAGTCATAAAATCAAACATTGCTTTTTATCTCATTGAACGATCTTTGCTTTCTCCTTGGGGTATTTAGACCACAGATTGGCAGACAACGGCATGCCAGCCATATCTGGCATGCAGCCTGTTTTTGAACTAAGAATAGTCTCTACATTTTTAAAGGCTTATGTAAAAAAAAAAAAAAAAAAAAATCAAAAAGAATATATGCTAGAAATCATATGTGACCCAAAAAGCCTAGCATGCTTTCTACCTGGTCCTTACAGAGAAAGCTGCCAGCCGCCGGTGTAGACTGTTCGGTGTGATGGTTGGTGTGGTTGTGTTTAAGTCTGCTGTGGTATTTGTTTTCTCTGTGTCTCATCTGTTCCTTTTTCCCCTGTTTCCTTCTTTTTTCTGGTTCCTTTGGATTGAGTATTTCTATTTCTTTTTATCTCCTTGGCCAGTTTATTAGCTATCACTCTTTGTTCTGTTATTTTTGTGGGCGCCTTAGGGTTTGTAGTATACGCCTTTGGTTCGATACCAAATAAGCCTGCCGCTTCCCGCGGCAGAAGGGCGTACCTCCGACGGGCAGCCCCGCTCCTCCCGCCCCTGTGCTATCACCGCCCGCAGCTCTCCGATGCCTCCGTTAAACCCCCCGTGCATTGCTCTTGCTCTTGCTCCCGGTCAGTCGTCTCCTGACGAATGTCCAGCCAAGCGCACGGGTGTTATAATGGCCTCTGCAGTTATCTTTCCTGGGGTTTCCCATTTGTTTGTGCAGATCCAGGTTTCCACCTGAAAGCGTTGATCTTCTGCTTGAAGGGCTTCCGTAAGTGCAGGTGGGCTGAGATGAGTTTTTCTCCCC